GTAGTGGTACCATTACAGGGGAGACTCTGCCAAAATTTCTATAAATCTCTGGGAGTTTTAACATTCGAGGACGAATGTTTCTCGGGGGGAGGGGGGGGAGAGAGATTGTTACACCCTATGCGTCCCAAGGTGACGTATAATGAATATGATACTTGTTAATCATGAATTAAATGATTTTAAAGTCATAATATGACTATATATGATGTTTGAAAAAAAAGGTTTGGGAAAAATCGAATTAAAGTTGCGGAAAAACCGACTAAGGATTTGCCCTGTAACTGAGTTTTTTTGAGAAATACATTTTGTGTGTTATATGAGGTCTTTTTGGGACATATTATATACCAAATAAAAGGTCTTGGAATTTAGTTTCCAACTCTCTTAACCGTTCATTCATACGACATCTGGATAAAAAGATATAACCGTCGGAAGATGGCCAAATGAGAGGGTGCCAAGCTAGCACCTCTTTGACTTTTCAAAAGTAGATATATATGTCTTAACTCGTCTCTCCCTTCATTTTTACATAGAACCCAACCAGAGAACACCATAAAACATGTCCTTGATCTCTCTAATAGTGCTTCAAAGAATACTAACATCCCGAGTACGAAATCGAGAGGCGATAACATTAGAACGATCCCTTCGCCTCTCTTTTTCTTTGTAGTTTGATTTTTGGAATGTATTTAATAGTTAATAAAATTCTTAATTTCTGTATTTAAGCTTTAAAATATAAATTAATGTTGATAAATTCATTTTCTAATAGTTAGAACTCACGGGACAGTGATCGAAAGCCGTGAGTTCGCGTTATTTGACTTGTAGTGGACTGTTTTGTGGATTGTTTCGTGTTGCCTTTGGGCTGTATATTTTTATACTATTTAATGGAGTTTTGGATGAAAAATGGAGTATAGAAACACCACATAATGATGTAATGGTGGTCTGGTCGTTCGTCGTTATATTTTTTAGGTTGTTTGATACTACTTTGGTTGTCGTTTTATGTATGAAGTCATTAGGGTGTGTAGGCTATTTTGTGGTATATTGTGATGGAGATAAAGTTGGAAAATAATGTTTACATATTGTTATTGTTGTATTCTTGTTGTTGTTGGTATATGGTATTGGAGGAGGGCCTAGTTACATGGGAGATACTGCCCAAATTTACGTAAATGAGCTACTAGTTTAAGTTACGAACTTTGCCTTTACTCAACACTGATTTTAAATCTCCTTATGCTATGGTAGATTGAGTTGAGTTATTTGAAGAATTTCTTGGAAGGTATTAAGGACTCAATGGAGTTGGGGTATGTTAAGGCTATCCCTTCTTTATTTTTGGCATGATCAATACGATACAAACGAAACGAGCAAACACAACTTTCATAAATGACTTTATTCATAGAAATACTAGGGGTGTCTATATTCTTGATTCCCTATGTGAATTATTATTATATCCTCTATTCATGGGTCTCAGAAAAAATACGTATTTAATAAAGTTTGTCCGAAAGGCATATTAATTTTATGATATTCGAAAAATCTTATTAACGTAATTCTTATGCATTTCACGCATTTATACATGTACATTTACCCATGACTAGAAGGCGTTATATACGTGTATATTATATGTATATGGGATATAGAAAAAGGTTATGGCGTTATATACGCACCACCACCTGATCAGCTGGTATACGTTGATGATTTGCCCATAGTGGCCGAGATGATATGATGGGATGCCCTCAGAGGCTTGATGATGTTATGTACACCTATACCTATGCATGATACGACATTTACACGCACGTGCATGACATTATAAATGTTTCAGGATTCACAAAGTTATTTAGACTCACAGGTGGAATTCTTTACTCCATGTTTCATCTATGTCTTTTATGTACTGATTTTTATGCCTTACATACTCAGTACATTATTCGTACTGACGTCTCTTTTGCCTGGGGACGCTGTGTTTCATGCCCGCAGGTCCCGATAGACAGGTTGAGAGTTCTCCTAGTAGGCTATCGGCTCAGCAGAAGGTGTTTGTGTACTCCACTTGCTCCAAAGTTGCCTATTTGGTCAGTATGATTGGAATATGTATTGATTGGAATGGCGGGGCCCTGTCCCGACCTTTATGATATTTATGTACTCTTAGAGGCTTGTAGACAGATATCATGTATAGGGATACTGGTATGGCCTTGTCGGCCTATGTTTTGAGTATATTAAGGATCATGCCGGCCTTATAGGCCAGCACATCATATGTATAAGTCGGTATATCAAGTTGGGTCACTCTATATTGAGTATTTCCTCATGTTTTATTCTACTTATCTCACCACAGCCTCTCCGGCTCATTTACCTATGATAGTATGATACGAAAGATACGTTACGTTGGTATTCGGTTGAGTAAGGTACCGGGTGCCCGTCGCGGCCCTTCGGTTTGGGTCGTGACATGGTCGTTATGTACCAAAGGATAAATCCAATACTCAAGATTAGGGGTGTCAATGTATATTTAAAAACCGACTAAACCGACCGAATCGTACCGCACCGAACCGATTCTTAGGTTTCTTTTAATAAAATCGCAGATTTTTCTATAAATCTACAACAGTGCCGATAATTAGGGTAGATTTTTTATTTTATGAAAATAAACCTAAAAAATACCGAACTGTACCGAATAAATTTACATATGAAAAATATATTTATATATTAAGTTTAAAAATAATAAAGTACTAAATTTTTCCTTGGGTCTTGGAATTATGAAAATGGTTATAAGTAATTAAGATCAAAATCCTAATTCCCAAACCTACTATGCTACTTCTATTGAAATTAAATTATTTTCAGCATATTCACTAGCAAGAAACAAAGTATTCTAACGATTATGAATAACAAACCACAGTGTATTGAATATGATTCCTTTCGTATGATTTAGATTTATCTTTTTGAATATTTAATCTTTTATAGTCTTTATTTTTGAATTCCAACTTGGTTAATATCTTTCTACTTGTGTAATTTTTCTTTTCTTTGTCTTTGCGTAGTTTCTTTTACCCGGTGATAGAGTAGTTGATGGATCTATCATCATTTAAACAGTAAAAATATATAGAGAGTAATGCTAAGTTCTATAAAAGTATGTATGTTATTGCATTCTACTTTTACTAGTAACTTTTACATGACATTTTTAAAAATACCGAAAATTAACCGAACTGTACCGATACCAAAGGGAAACTGACATGATTGGGACGGTTTCAAAAAGTTTAATTTTAATTATTCATAATAGAATAACCGAAAAATCGATATGGTACAAATTTTATAAAATAACCGACCGAACCGAACCATTTACGCCCCTCCTCAAGATAACACAATTCAAATGATAGTATTAACAATTCAAATCTCTTGTTATCCAAATGATTTTCTTTATTTTCCTATTAACTATTTTGCGGCTGTCTTTTTATTTTCTAATTCATTTTACTCTTTTGATTAGAGGGAATAGTTTTCTAATTTAAGTCACATGGGTTTTCTTAGTTTTCTATTTTACGTCACGTGAAATATTACCCACTAACTTTAGTAGATTATTCTTTTCTTATGGCATCCTAACTACTTATTTTTTTAATCATGGTTGGTTTATTTTCTTTTTCTTTTTGTTTAGTTTTTCTATCACACCAAGCTGAAAGTTAAAATATTTTAAATTACAATTGTTTGACTAAAATGATTTGCTGCATATTCTTCTAAATCAACATAGCGAATAAATCCTTTATTCTTCAACATGAATTCTTTCGTTAAATTGTGTTATTTTCACCAAATGACCAAACTTTCAATGAGCATAATTAGTAACAGGTCGATAAAGATTAACCACCACATTAGGTAAAATGATTAAGGAAAAAATTACTCGCATCTCATATTTATATCAATGACAATAATTATGTGTTAATCACAAGCGAGTTATCTTATGCTTACATTAAATCACGGTAATCTACTATATCAAATCATAGTAATCTAGTATCGTTAAGTAATAAATTAAGATGAACACGCATATTATTTTTGTTGTTCCACATCAGGCAAAATGATTAAGAAAACAATTACTCACATCTCGTGTTTATATTGACAGTAATATTATGCGTCAACCATAAGTGAGTTAGCTTAGCTTATGCTTACATCAAATTACAGTAATATACTAAAGTTAAGTAACAAATTAAGATAAACATACATATTACTCTTGTTGTCCCTCATCAGGCAAAAGGCTTAAGAAAAAAATTACACACATCTCGTGCTTATATCAACAACAATAATTATGCGTCAATCATAAGTGAGTTACCTCTTCTGCTTACATCAAATTACAGTAATCTACTGAAGTTAAGTAACAAATTAATTAATATGAGCATAAACGACATACCACTTTTGTTGTCTCATTTTATACGACATACTTTCATTTTTAGTGTCTTAGAAAAATGACATCTTTATATTCTTATGCATCTCATGTTATACAACCACCTAAATATTACGACATATTTAAATTTTTTTTAAACGTCGTACATAATCAAACACTTTCAAATAAAAGAATGATTATTTGTGCGTATTTAAGTTTAAAATCTTCATCATACATTAATTGAATTGACCTCTAATTAAATGAAAATCTTTTTGAAAAAATTGGAACAAATAATTATTTTTTCCATAAAAGAACAAAAGCACCGATCCTGACCGTCCAAGGGCAAAGCTAAAGAAACGGAGCTCGCACCGCTGGCTATAACCAGATGTTCTAAATTTTATTACACTTACACAATTACCCTTCAATTTCCCTTTATATTACAAATTACCACAATCATAAATCAATTCGAATTCCGAAAATGACCTTCAACTTCCATTCTCAACTCCCAAATAGCGACAAAAAAATAAACATTATGGTCATTTTGCATTAATTCCACATCTCTTTCGATCCTGAATTTTGAATGGCATTATAGATATTAGTTAAGTAAATAAAGGGTAAATTATTAATTAATGGACATATTTATACACCAGTTGCCCATTTCGGTTTTTTCCCTATGTATAAATTCTACATCCTCTCTCTTTCTTTCCCCCAAGTCTCTTATCTTTCTTATTTCTCCGGTCTTAATTCTCCCGTTCACGGCGGAGCCACCGCTTAAACCACCGTCCGTACACCGGAATCTACCGTCCTTGCCGGAATCCGACGATCTCTTTCTAGATCCTTTTTTTTACTTTCCATCAAACTCACTCCCCTCCCTTCTCCTCCCAACACAAAACGTTTTCATTTTTATTAGTAATTTCTCTTCAATTTTTACTGTGTTAAAATTGAAAAGAAAAATATTTTGTTTACTTTTCTATTTTATATTTCTCGTAACTCTCAAAAACTTTTTATTTTGTTCCTCTCTCCAACGAGAAATGTACCCGTCTGGGTGATTTTACCTTTCTGTCCTTTCATTAACTGTACTTTCTAAACCCCATAACTCTATAACCGTAAATTCATCCTTTTCCCCTTGTTATCGCTTTTAGCCATTTTCTTTTTTTGTTTTTTAGTGTGGTGACGTGGCATACAAAGATTAGATTACTAAACGGACGGCTAAGATGAGTTATCACACACGTCGAATCTTAACTCTTGAGGAGTCATCACGCAAGCGAAAAGACCGAGACACATTTTATTCTTTTCCCAAACCGTCAATCCCATTAACGTCCGTTAATAGTCCTAACGTTAATACGACGACGTCGTTTAACAAAGGAGCAGCCGAGCCGAATCATCAAATGCCCAACCCGCTTTTGGCTGGATACATGGCTTATGAATTTTTAACCAAAGGGACAGTGTTGGGTCAGAAGTTTGATCCGGCTCGAGCAAAAGCTGTTCCAGTGAACGCTTTTGCCGAGCCGAAGAAAAGAAAATCAAGTGGTTCGAGTCCTAAAGAAGTCGAGCTGAGTGGGAATGGGAAGCTGAAGACTCAGAGCCAGAATTATGTTGAATTGGCTAGCTTGTTGAAGAGTGATGGGTCCCACATTCCGGGTATAGTCAATCCTACGCAGCTGGCACAGTGGATTCAGATGTGACAGAGAAGCGCTACGTGGCGATTTTTCATTGGCCGAGGTTTTATATCCACGTAAGAACGGTAAAACCAACCCTTGGATTTTGGCATAAAAAGGAAAGAGTGCCGAATTATTCTATCTCAAGACTCCCTGAAAGTTTTCTGCTGCAGAAAACTCAAACATATGTTTGTTGTTGTTATTTTATTTTCCTATGTTAATTTGTTTTCTCGATATATTTCACCTTTTTTGTTTTGTTATAGATGGCTCATGAATGTTATGTGCTGGACCTTGATCCTATCTTTTGTTCCTTTTTTCTCTTTCTATATTATTTCTTCTTCTTTGGTTGTATTGTGAATTGTGATGATTAGGTTTGTTATTTGTCATGGTATTTTCATGCTTTGACGCACAAATATATATATATATACTAGCTTTGTGACTATTTTCATGAATGTTGATAGTCATCGTATGTGCATGCTAATTAAGAAACACCTATTTGCATGGACTTGTAGGGAGAGGTGGATCTAGGATTTAGACGTTGTGAGTTTAGATTCTTAATTCTACCGCATCTAATCTAATTTAATGGGTTCAAAATTTATTATTTCTACATATTAAATGATTTTTTGGACAAAAATATAGGCTATGAGCGAAAGCTATTGGTTCAGTTGAACTCATAGCTTGTACACTGGATACGCCTCTGCTTGGAGGTGTGTGTATATATATTGGGGGTTGGAGAGATCGAGAACCTTGGAGTTTCTGTATGATCTATGGGTCACAAGTTTGAGCTGTAAAAGTAGTCATTAGTATTTGTATTAGGTTAAATTATTTATATCGGTTCGAAATACCTTGTATACCGTGCTGTTTTTTTTTGAGTTGCATGCATTGCGTTGTGGTTTCATAAAACGCGTGTGGTATAGTTTTCGTTAATCTTTATGCATTTGAAATTCATTTGGAGGGCTAATTCTGATTCACACAGTAAGACCCGTTGAAGGAGAAAGCGTTCCTTAGAATTTTTTTATTTGCATATCTCGTACTGGGCGCTAATATCATCATGTGTAGAGAGTTTCCACCCATCCAATAGCTCGAACTTGGCACCATTTTCATTAGGAGGACTAGTTTCTATGTCTCCGATCTAAACTCTTTACCACCAATCTCATAGGGGTGGTACAACTTATCTACTTTCCCGAGGTAAGGGTAAGGTCTGCGTACACATTATCTTCTGTGTACACGTTACCTTCTACAAATACTGGATTTATTGTTGTTGTTTTTGTGGTAAAGTTTGAAACGAATGAATGATTAATGTTAGAAACTTTACGAACTATTTAAACGAGAGCATATATTTTGTAACTCCATCTCATGATTCATTCTAATTAAAGCTTTAGTTATTAAAAAGACTACGAAATCTTGAATTATATTGTGTTTCAACAATCCTTTTTCAGAAAGAAAAAGAGATGTCCTTGGTAGGATGTGGAGTTCTTTGTTTGTTACTTCATATTGATGTTTCATTGGTTAGTTCATGGAAATATGAGGTGATATATATATATATANTCATTCAATAAATATATGACACATCACACATATTTTTAACAAACATTAATATTATTAAACCACAGTCTATTATATTTGTACTTTAATTTACCACTTTACTATAATAAATTAATATGGTGTAATGTAAATATTTTGTACGGATAAATTTTTACCCTCGCTACAGTTGATATATACTACGTATTACGTTTTAGCCTTATCAGACAATTAGACCTATCGAGAACGACAAACTGACTGATGAAGCTAGATGGGGAGAGGACAACTTGATCAAAAGGAAATAAAATAATATTAAATACTCCCTAAGTTTCAATTTATGTGAACATATTTCCTTTTCAGTTCGTGCCAAAAAGAATGACATCTTTCCTTATTTAAAAATAATTTATCTTTATGCAATGATTTATAGCCACACAAAATATATGTGCCTCATTTTACACCACAAGTTCAAAAGTCTTCTCTCTTTTCTTAAACTTCGTGTTCATTCAAATGGGTTCACATAAATTGAAACGGAGGGGTACTCTTTTGGTCCAAATTGTTCGTCACTTTAATTACGTGTTTCTTTTGTCCCAAGCTTTATGTTGCTTTTAGATAGTCGATTTTATTAAAGTATGATCATCTTGAGTTGAGTTTTCAGTATTCTTATAGGAGAAGAATTTTGGACTTGTAATATATACATATAATTAATGTAGTTTTTTAAGTTTTACAATAGTACTAGTTTGGAATGAATTAATATAGGACAAGGGCAAGGATTCTAAAAGGCAAATTTGGTATTGCAAATAAGTTAAAGCTTTTTAATATGAAAATGAAAGTAGAGAGAAAGGCCGACTTTAAACATGAAACAAGGACGTTCAAGTTCAACTCAAAATTCTTCTTAATGAAATTTTCAGTCTTAAAAAGTTCGAGAATTTTGATATAAATCTTGAAACATATGATAATTAATTCCCTACTAATTATTGTTCAATAAAACTCTTTTACTCTTTCTTTGCTACATATTTTGCACGTCTCTAATAAATTTGGACTTCGTTACTACTCGATAATGCCTCTATTCGCTATTGAATGAATAGTCTCAAATGAACCATCATCTCTAATATAGCGTTTCTTTTTGAGAGAAATTGTACAACTAAAGAGAAATTTTATTTTGTGACGAAGATTGAAAGTTTGAAACATCAAAGACAATAGCAAGAAGATTTATTTTAATATTCATCATGAGATATTAGTGGATTTGGGAGTCTTGAAGTAACAGGTTCGAACCGTGAAAGCAATCAATATTTGCATTAGAGTAGGTTGTTTACATCCCTAGGGGTGCGGCGCCCCTTCCTGAACCTTGCATGAATGTGGAATATTTTGTGCACCGGGTTACCTTGTCTATACTACATTTGAACTTGTGATAACACGCGTTTAACTGCGGTCCCTTGACTATTAGATGATACTTCGAACCTAATTTCTTTTAAGTACGATATATACCTCACTATATCAAAAGATTTAAGTTATATATGCCTGCAGTTTGAAACTTTTTTACACTATTATTATAGTTATACAAATGGTAATAGGTTATTAATCAAATATTATTAAGTACCATTAATATTTATCAAAGGAATTTATTTATAATTATTTTAAAAATAACCTGAGGATGTAAGTATATATTTATACCAACATTGTAGAATTTTAACTTGTCAAAATAATATGGAAACTGACGTGGCACATACAGATTCTGACACGTATGTCAGCGAAAAAGTGGCCGGTATGACAAAGAATTTCTAAAAATTACACAAGCTTCTGCAGTTCTATAAATTCCCACTTTTTGTCTTGAATTCCAAAAAAGAAAAAAATTGAGTAGTAGTGTTTGTTTGAAGAAAAATGAGCATTAATTAATTTGTGCCTTTATTTTTAAAAATAAAAAATAAAAATTAGTGGAACAGTTTGGGCTGAAAAATAGGAAGAATTAAAGGAAGAAGGAAAGAATTCGATTAGAATTCTACACGTAAGTTATAGGTACAGTTGCCCTTTTTAAAATTCAAGTCAAACTTGTGACTTACGAATTCTAATTTAATTAGTTGAGTCATTTATGATACTATAGCGTATAATTCGTTAACGTATTTCAGCTCTGTCTTGATTTTCTATTTTCACAAAATTTAAATTTTTTTTTGTATTTTTGAAGTCATCATTAAAATTCTGGTAACAGTGAAAAGATTGCTTATATAAATAGAATTAGAAATATGCTGTATTTTCTCATATAGGATAAAGTCGGATTTATTTTTCAGGAAAAGATGTTTCTGCTTGACTCATATGAGTGGTATTGAAATTAAAGAAATTATGCTAAAATAATCAATTTTGTGGAAGTTCTTGTCAAATGTATCTTAGATGAAGGAATTATTATTATACAGTTAGACCTATTTATGACAGTATCTCTGTATAACAATTATTTACAATAAAATTCAAGTTTTTCTCGGAATCAATTTTTTATGTTATGTTATAATATATGTCCTCTATAATAACACTTCACTATAACATCTAAAAAATATCGGAACAAACACGGTTGTTATGGATAGGATTCATCCTAGTTTCCTATTATCCATGTTAACACATTAATAATTATGTGTGTTATGATGCAATAGAAATATTTTCTCAAAAAAAAAAAAATCGTGTTTGGTGGAACTTAGAAGAATGAAAAATATTTTTTAGAAAAATAAATTAACGATAATGTCAGCATATGGGATAGTCTCTCAAGAAAAGTTGTTAGTACTAAAAATAAACAATAATATCTAAGTATTAATTAAGACAATATTATAAAATTAAGTATTGAGATAATTATGAATGGAAATGACCTTCGTTCAAAACTCAAAAGCGAAGAAAGTCTTTTTCCCCTTTTGGTGGAAAATTTGTTCTTGAGAATATTTTCTTGCAACAAAATGTCAATCAAAACAAAATTGTTTTCCGTCACACCAAATTTCCAGAATATCTATTATTTGTGGAGTTTTAGCTTAATAATTTGAAAATAAGTTTTATCAATATGTAACGGTAGGAACTGGCCGTGCTTCACATATTTGAAAGTGACATAATATGTTGATGCACGACCAATGATTTAAGAAAAGTTTTCGAAACGTTTTTCTAGAAATTCAAAATTAAAGTCGTTTGGCTGAAAAGACATATTCTGATATTCATTCTTTTTGAAATCCTCTTTTAGAGGTGGAGTGGGGATTTCATGTTTATGAATTTGGGAGTAGCCCTTTTAAGTTATTGGATTATAAATCAATAATTTATATATTATTATAGTTATTATAATAATTTATAACTATAATTTATTATAGTTTGGACTGTCAATATGAGAATAGTTGATGTGTACGTAGTTTAGAGAGGCAGCTGAAGTTGGGGCTTGTTGTCCAACTATCAGTTTTTTCTTGTTTGTACATAACTCTATTTGGCAAATAAAAATATTTACTTGCCCCTCCCTCATATATATATATATATATATATATATATATATATATATATATTGTTGACCTAAGTAAAGGTTAGTTTTGAAGACTAACAAAGGAACTCAGGATGAACCAGCTCCATCACTTAGGTGTACAAAAATGGGCAGATTCAAGCATGTGGGTTGCACGTGAAGGAGATAAGCTTAACTTGGTGTATTTAATATCTTCTGAT